CTTTTGGTCCTAAAAAAGAGCGAGAAAAAGTTGTGGAACACGGTAGAAAACGTAAAATAATTGCTTCTTTTCCGCTTTTTTGTTAGTACACTGGCGCCCTCTTTACATTGCGGGAAATATGAGTGTGAATTACTCGTTAGTGTTATGCTATAAAGGTTATACATTAATAAACTGTTCGGCAAGGCCAAAATCCCTTACCTTGTTTATCGTGAAGAATATGAACGATGCTTAATCGAACTTCCGACTGCTAAACGTATTATCGATTTATCAAGTTATTGTCTCATTTGTCACACTGTCATATGTTGAACTGACTTACTGACAATTCACAATAGTACAACTTTGCTTACTATCCCTTTTCAAAAATCGCTTCACCTTGTGATTTAACTATATTTTTCAAATAACCCAAGAGCTCTTTTTAGGGCTAATTTTTCTTTTCTTTTTTTTCACTACAAATTTTGCTACGTTCTTGAAATTTTCAAGTTATTTGTATACTATCATGTCGTACAAAGACCAATGTGAATTATGCAACGAAAAGCTACGGAATGGTCGAGCTTATGTTTTGAACAACAGCGAAAGTTTGTATGATAAGGTGCAAGAAATTCATGAAACTTTACACGGCCGATCACTTGGGGAAATTGTAATCGTGTGTGATCGTTGTTGAATACGCCTTTCGAAACGGCTCTTGCAAGTCAATGCTACCACTACATCTTTACAACGCTACTTCAGCGTAGAATCGATGGATATGGAACTTATGGCCGACAAAGAAACACAAACTTCTCTGGTGTCCCTTTCTAACGTCAATGTTCAATGCACCATCTTGCAAGAAAATGTCGTATCTTTACCATTTCATCTTCCTAGCACCTCTCACCAGTACTGTGCCATTTGCCACGGACCGTTTGGTCAAAAATCATACATCACAGTGCCCGACGATATTCGATTGCAAGTCTTCATTTCTGAATCAATCTATCTTCGACCTGGTATTCGCTGTTGCAAAAGTCATATCTCGAACAATACTTTCAAATTGAACGCAATTGAAAAAGTACGTGATCAATATCCGCCTATTTCTTCGATTTCTGTTTCTGATGTTGTGAACCTAATAGAAGAACTTGGGACTCAAATAAAGAAAACCAACAACTTAACGAAAATGTCGTCGCCGCTCAATTTTAATAATCAGTTCCTCTACACCGACGAAGACTATTGGGTCTTGACAGGTATTCACAAAAAATACTTTGATATACTTTGTCAACAAGTGAATATGAGAAGCACGGACAATCGATCTGTTTCCATGGCTATCGGATGCCTTCTTGTCAAATTGCGACTTGGCCTGAGCAATACAGTTTTGGCTACTCTCTTTTCATTCAGCGATAAAAGAACCGTAGGAAATGTGTTAGAGAGTGCTCGTATTGCGTTGAGGAAGCATTTCGTACAATTTCACTTGGGTTTTGAACATATTACTCGCGAAGCAGTTGTTAATTATCATACAAGACCCTTAGCTAAGAAACTTTTGGTCGACGGAAAAGACGTGGCTATTTTAGTCATGGATGGCACATATCTATACGTACAAAAGAGTGGAAATAACCGCCTACAACGAAAATTATACAGCGTTCATAAAAACAGACCTCTCATAAAACCCATGATGATTTGTGCGACAAATGGATATATTGTCTCTGCAATGGGTCCATATTTGGCTGATGCTCACAACAATGACGCAAGCATTACAAATCATCTACTTCGAACAAATCAAGAAGGTATCTGTGACTGGATGAATCTGGGAGACGTGATGGTCGTAGATCGTGGATTCAGGGACATTTTGTCACTCATTCAATCACTTGGATGGACAACGTACATGCCTGCATTTCTACCCAAATCCACAAAAAAATTCACTACCGAACAAGCGAACAACAATCGAAAAGTGACGAAGATCAGATGGATAGTGGAGGCAGTCAATGGTCGTCTTAAACAATACAAATATTTTGGAAAGGTTATTCCAAATACAGCACTACCGTACATTCATGAATATGTACAAATTATATGTGCCATCATAAACGCTTTCCGTCCTCCATTCGTGCAAGATACTTCAAATGACGACTATATTGCTCAAGAAATGCTTGAACGATCGAAAAAGCAGAACAATCTCGAGGTAAGTTTGACGGACAAAGAATTTATGAAACTTAAAAAGTGGGAAAAAATGGAGGTAAGTTCTACGGCTCCAAATTTTCCTGTTTTGGGAATTGTGGAATTGGAAGACTTGACTCTGGGCGTCTTTCAAGTCAAACAAGCAGTTTCATACGCCAATGAACATGTAGATCAAGATGGGGAGTTCGAGATTTTAGTATCGACGGAAACTGAAGGAATGCTTATGGCCTCAATTCAAAGCAAGCACTCAAATCGCAAAGTTTACAAGGCAATTATCACTTACAATAGTGTAACTGCTCTTGAATGGGCTTGCCAATGTCCAAACGGTAATCAAGCAATTGGTTGCTGCAGTCACGTAGCAAGTATTCTTTGGTACCTCGGTCATGCTCGATACCTCCCATCAAGTACTACTCAACGTTGTGCCTCATACATTGATGCTTTTATCGATGCAAAGAGTGCACCATCTTCATCAAGTGAAGCTAGTGAGAGTGACGATGAGACACTCTATTCGCTTACTTAGTAAATCAGTTATGTTATGAATGCTGGAAGTGAGTTTTGGTTTTTTATAGCGGCCAAATACTCTTAATACAAATGTTTTTATAACTAGATGCAGAAAATCTCTGAACTAGCTCTTTTTTGAGACGAATAATTAATCGAAAGGACTGCTTGCAACTCAGTACATCAAAAAGAGATATTAAACTTACGAAAACTTCAGTCAAAAATACTCAAAATAAAAAAAAATAAAAAAAAAATAAAAAACAAAAAAAAAAATAAAATTTTCTAAAAACTAAAAAAAAATAAAAAAGTTGTTAAAAATAAGAAGGAAGTATATAAGCGAAAAGATTGAAAAATTCAATAATAAAACGAAAGCGCTTCAAAATAAAAGAAATGGTTTATCGTTCTCTCACTTATTTTTCATTGTTTTATTTGCGTTATATGAAACAGAGTGTTTTTAGTAAACTTCCTTCATAATAGGGTGAGCTCTACGCGCTGAGGAAGATCAACGTGTTTCTGGCAGCAGACTCACGGCCAACAACCCTATACAGATGCTGAACACAATAATAACTTGTTTCAAACACTAAATGTTTCTATAGTTCACATCTACCGCGATGTAAAAAAATGGTAAAAAAGCAATTATTTTACGTTTTCTACCGTGTTCCACAACTTTTTCTCGCTCTTTTTTAGGACCAAAAGATAGAGCATGAAAAGTTGAGTATTGTGTGCAAATATGACGTTGCGACTGAATTTCTACTGGGGTCATCTATGGAGAATACCTTCAAAAAAATTGAATTTTCAACGAATTTTTCCTGATTTTTGTCGTTTTTCTTCGATTAACAAAAAATATTAAGCTATAAAAAGTTCCATGACCTCAAATTCAGATTCGTCATGAAATTCTGCATCAAAATCTATATCTATTTTATCTTTTAAGTGTTTCACTCGTTAAAGAGCATCGGAATACCTACACTGTAAAAAAAAAAGGTATTTTACGAAACCAAAAAAGGATCGGGGGCCGGGCACACCTTCCGAACCTCCTTTGGTTTCGCAAAAAAAAGGTTTCGTATCAAACTTCTTCTTGATGAATGGAAAAAATGGTTTCGTACACAAGGCTCAGTACGAAACCTTTACAGGAAAAAGTCAAAAAGGTTCCGTGTAAAAGGTTCAGTACAAAACCTTTCCAAAATGATGTCCAAAAGGTTTCGTACAAATGGTTTCGTACGA